GGTAAAGACCAATCATCAGGGAAAAGCAAAACATTGTTGCAAAAATGAAGAAAGTATTATTGGCAGATCCACATGTTGGCCAACCTAACAATGGTAACCTATTCGATCTTGTTTAATATCTGCTCTAACTAACAAGACATGTAGAAAAAAAAATAAACTATAACTCAGGAAAGAATCATCATAAAGCAAAACATGAAAAAATTATGAACTTTCCAAAGATCATCCTCTCATTTAACATTTGAACTCCAACAGCAAAAAGAAGTAAAACAGCAGCCTATTGCACTTAACAAATAGCAATCCATCTTCTACTTACTATATGAGTAGATCAAATTAACCACAAAGACCATCCAACTGGTTTAGTAAATTTGCTGTATTTGTAAGATTGTTTTCCTTAAAGAGACTTTTGTCCCAGAGTGTTATACACTCATTCACTTCCAAAGAAACTTCACTGCAATTTTATGCTCAAATGATGAGGCTACTCATGTTATCAAACATAAAAAGGAGAAAGAAATTAATTGCCTGAGATAGATATTTTCTTTATCAGAGGTTGACTAGTTTGTCCATCTCTTTCGAGTTAGACAAAATTTTCACTACCTCCCGAAGCAAGGGGTGGTCGATCATTGTTCCAAAATGTCCCTGCTCGGCAAAAAATTACAGTAAGCAAGATCGGTTTATCTTCTGCCCTGCTTCTTCCCACTGATGAGAGGATAATCTACCAAGTAGCCAGCAACAACAACAATAACGACTCATCAATTTTCTTTCGTTCTAAAACGAAAGCGCGTAGATTAAAGAATTCATCCCATTTGCATAAGACCATCTTGTAGTAGCCAAAAAAAAGCTCAATCTTGAGCCCGAGATAATACTTGACCTGCTTTCAGAATAAAGACCTGCCACAGGTGAAAGCAGCCTGTCAAGATTCGAAATCCCATCCGAGTCTCATCACAAGAAGGACTCAAATAAAGATCCTTTGGAAGATCCTACAACCCCTCCCTCAAAACAGTATTCCAATGTGCAGGAAGCTTAACAAAGTGGGATTTCTCTTTCGGTTTCGAAGCCTTCTCCCCTGACACAAAGCCACTTAGAAACTTAAACCCTCGCTTCTTGTCTTCACTGGATAGTCTGAGGAAGGGCCAACTGATGGTAAAAGCAAACCGACCCCAACAATTTCCGGAAGTAGATAGGAGGTGCCAAGCCCAGAGTTGACAGCTTCGGTTGCCTCCCCAATCCAAGAAACAACAAAGAGGAAGCAAAAGAAAAGCAAGTTCCTTTCGGAATCAAGCTCCTACCAAACATCCACCCAGAAACATAGAAAAGAGGCTTCTTTCCATCGAAAAGGACGATCTTGAGATCCGAGGGCAGCAAACAACACGCATCAAATCAAATACGAAAAAGGGGGAAGGGGGCTTCAGAACCTCGAGATCCTGCGAGATGCTCCCGGCAGGCCTAGCGGCATCGGGGTCGGAATCGCCGGTTCCTCAGAGCCTCCATCGCCGTCCCTTTCGCCTCTCTCACCTCCCCACTGCCCTCCCTCCTCGGTGGCTTGCTTGCGCGAGCAAGAGAGCGAAGTTAAAAAAACAGGAAGGAAGCGGACGGCGAAGCAAACACGCACCCAGCGGAGGTCGGTATCCCGGAAAACGACCTCCGACTCTTTTTCTTCCTCGCCCGCCCATTTATTCTATTCGTTCTAATAATGACACGATAATTAACCCCGCTCCCCGTCAACGTACGGGACGCCGTCAGTCGCCGTTCTGCGCTGACTGCAACGCCGTCAAGACTCCGCCACGCCATGCCACGCCACGCCGGAGGGCGACCGCGCGCCACAGGCCGGACATCGAGGCCTCCGTTAGTTAGCCTTCTCCGTCGGCGCATGATAGCCTTCCGTGCGCCTACTGACGTCACCACCCGTCACGTTTATTAGGTAGGCGTGGATCCACCCCGGTCCACTTACCCATCCATCCCCACTTGCCCTGCATATGCTCAGTATTTCTACATGCATAATATATATATATATATACATATATATTTGGATGATGTCATAATATTGTGTAACAAAAAAAAAAAAGATACATCATGACCATTTTATTTATTTATTTATTTATTTATTGGAAAAAAGAGAAAATATATAATATTAGGATCGTAGCAAATGGGAAAATAGAACAGTATCTGTGAGAGAAAAATGAATGAATACAACTGTTGCTATCCTTTTGCATCTTTCTGATCTTTCAAAAACGATTATAATAATTGTAAATGGCTATTGAAATATGCGTGCCTACGCAATATGCAAAGAACTTGAATGGCGGTGAGCGTAACGTTACCGGCGGTCATTATTAGTGGAGAAACAACAATAATAAAATAATAATATAGTAATTGTGGGGGTAATAAAAGGGGGATTAGATTAAAGGATGCGATGATGTTATGTGGGTGGTGGAACACGTCAGGTGGGACGTCACCGTCACCAACCCACCCCAACCGAGTCCAACGCGCTCCGTGGGCGGGTAACCGCACCGAGGGGGTCGCCCGTGTCGCCTCTTTCCGGTGCTGGGCCCACTGGATTTGGGCCCCACCAGCGACCTACTCTGGCCTCGCGCCCCCGAGTCAGCTCACGAATGACCTACAATGACGGCGCACACATCGAATGATTCGAGCGACGACTTAAGTCACGAATAAGTCCCTTTCTTTCTTTCTTGCTTTCTTTCCCCTCTTTTATTCTTTCCCTTGTTTACTAAGTTATTTCCTTTCTCTTGCGATTTCTTTGGCAAAACATAGCCTGTTTAAATGATTGGAAAGGTTAAAATGTTTGAGCATATTTAGTCTGCAATGAACAAGAATTTTCTAGATTTTTTTTACTAATTTTTATGAGAATTAGATTCTTGTTTACCTCATGAATGATTCTTGTTTCTCTCATTAATTTCTCTCCCTTTTCTTGAGACTTCTTTGGCAAGACATGACTCTCATCATTAAAAACCTTGTTTGAGCAAATTGAGTTTAGAATTCCTGGTCTCATTTCATCATCACCAACTATGATCATGAGCAAGTTTACTGTTGCAGTCATGTGTCGGTATGAGAATCAATGAAGAGATAAATTTAAATCTTAACTTTTGTGTCATAAAAGTGTTGCATTATGAAAGCATATCACCAAAGAAAATTTCTCAGCATCATAAATCTCCATCATGTAGTGATGTGATCGATCCATGCATCCTTAGGTTCCTTCACCAGTGTTGGTGATTTCCATATGTCTCCTCTAACCCAATGAGTCGCTCTAACTTTTCCAAGTTCTAGAACACCAAGAACAAGTGTGGAATGCGTGTGGTTTTGATCTTTGACGAAGAGATCAATTATACTTGAATTGACTTTGAGAAAAGGATATTTGTCGATCTATTGGATCTGTCTATATGTTCTTAGAATTCTTCATGAACTGAAAAAGATTAATTGTTAGAATCAATAGAAGTGTTTTTTATGATCATGGATGAAAGGTTCCAAGCTGAAGTCACCATTAAGGTTATTTAATTTGGGACATGACAATTCAACTCATACCATCGTATGGTTGTAATTGAGGTCTTGGATATGGATCAGTTTTTGTGATTGCAAGTCAACTCCACTGCCCATTTATTTCTATATCTAATTTGAATGAGTGTGATGGAGTGCAAGACATGTTTTGGATCAGATTAAGTCATGGATTTTCTTGTTTTATTTCGTAATGGCTGGCTGTCGTGCTCTCATCATTTATTGACTATCTCAAGGTTTGCAATATCATCTAATATACATAGTATTTATTTCTCGATACATAGGTCAAAATAGATGATAGATCTGATATAAGATTTACTCTAAAATCATCCGTTGTATAGAATCAGTACAACTCGATACAAGGCGGCTAGTTTTAATTTTTTTTTAATCTTTTTTTAAGGATCTTATCGAAACTCGATAAATTCAAATTGTGAACTTGGCACGATGTATTCTCTCTTATCCAAATCTAAAGATCAACTCTCTCTTGGATGTGCCTTTCTTGTTTCTTGTATACACTTAATGTTGTCTAGGATTAACAAAGCTTTGAAAATTAGAGTTTACTCAATTTTCTTCGGCTTTTACTGTTCTTGCGACGGGAAGCATAGTGTTTAGATATAGAATTAGACCCAAGTAAATCTTAGCTAGAAACCTAATGCATTGTTTTTCTTCTATCAGCAAGAAAAAGAAAACCGATACATCCGAAACATGAAAGCTAGGATTCATGACAAAATGCAAAGACAGAGAGCAGAAGAAAGGCATGCACAGATAAAGAAGATTACCAGTTTGGCTTGTAATCTTGGTTCAATGTCCGATCATAAATGAGGTGGAGGAGAAGAGCACTTCCATGAAGTTGAGAGGAGAGGAGATAAATGGAGATACCCACATGCACTGAACCTTATAATAAGAAGCTAACCTCTTTGAGAATTGCCAGCTGACCAGCCACTGTTCTTTAAATTAACAAGCATAAACTGAGAAGAGTTTGGGGGCATTAAGGAAAGGAGAGACTTTAATGAAGGTATAAAGGCAGAGGCAAAGTTGGGTGCTTTGGATCCATATGATTTGTCAAGCAGCAGTCTGTGGCTCAGATTCAGATACAGTAAAAATGCATTTATTATGATTCATTAGGATCAATTTACAAAGCAGCTGTATAAGTTATATGGCATAAATAGCTTAAAGTGATGCATCTGATAAGGCTTCACTGTAGATTCATGGACCTGTTCAGAAACTTTCCATGCAAGTGCCATCCATGATCCTGTAAAAGCTACAAGGAAAGCTCCCTCTTTCCCTTCAGAACCCAATTGTCTTCATCATCTTTGCCTTCTCTTGAGTGCCATGTCATTTGCTCTATCTTCTCCAACTCTCTATCAAATTGCTTATCAAAGAAGTATGTTTGCTTTATTAACAAGGTTGGTCAGCCTTTAAAAAGACTCTCATGCAATTATTTTATGCACTGTTAGTGGACTTGTTTCAACAAAAAAAAAAAAAGGCATACTTCTCTCCCACCCACTGTTTGATGAAACCCAACAATCATGGTGGTCACTTTGATTGGATGATTCCCTGATAGTGTTCTCTCCTTGGCTACAGACAATAATTGAGGCACCTTTTCCTATCATGTGTGTCCTTTTACATGTAGATAGGAGTGGATTTACTTGATGGAGGGAAGGAGCATAGGTGGATGGGACCAAATAGACATGCAAAAGAACTCCTGAAAGCAGGCAAGCCAGGGATAAGGGTGAGTAATGGAGAATGAGTAAGATTCTTACAGAAGTGGTGTTTTGACCACTGCATTCATGTTCTTTGTGATGATTCCTAGTAGATCTACAGGGATAAGAGATGCCAATAGCTCAAAAACATAAATCTGAGGCTTCAACTAAGTTCTAAGGTATCAGATCCATGAGACATTACGCAGTGTAAAGTCCTATTTATTTTGATTCAGATAAAAACACAAGACCATCAAGTTATTTTCCGATTTGTGGCTCGATGATCTGAGAGATCCAACAAGTAAGCTTAACAAAATCTTAGTTACTCTGTCTTTAGATGAACCAAAAGGCCATCAGTTTGTTCTTAACTTCATCAGATTTTAGATTAATTATGACTAAGGCTAAATATATTTACTTTATATTTAGATCAACCACAAAGGCCATCAATTTATTTGTTCATCAAAATATGGCTCAATCGATCTTAGTTAAATCTCCGAACTTCATCGGGTTTAATTCTTTGGTAAAATGAACATCTTTATCAACTAGTAATGGACTAATCTATATAGTTCTTATTACACCTGCAAGCAAAATCCTCCTTCATCAACTCTGTAAACATGGCAGAACATGGATGCTGAAATTTATATGGTGATCAATGTAAACCCCATTCCATCATTAGAACATAAGAAGAGCTCTTCAAAAGCCTAAGTTGAAACCCCCAATATCTGATGATCTCAAGATTTTTCTACTGACATAATCATGCCAAGCAGTTCAAGGAAGTGCTATTGCTCCTTGTTGAAGTCAAACATTCTTATAACCATCCAAAAGCATGATGCAGGTTGTATGATAACCAATAACTGGAATCTGAATATGAAAGTGAGAGGATATGCTATGATAGCAAATTCCTGATACTTTTAATGTTGCTATTCTTATCTTCTCATCTTTTGCCTTGAGGAAAAGTTGCTTTCCTACTAAATAAATTCCTCTGCAGCATTCAGGTTCATGGCATGCTCCTCCAGTGCACAACAATCATTGGGTGATGGGTTGGTATCATCTCTCCATTTCTGGACAATCAGGGGTACATTGGCTAATGGATTCTGTTGAGCTTTCCTCCTGCTGTCCATCATCTCCATTACTGTCAGAACTTTCTGGGTGCAATATGAGGCAAACATTCTCCATACAATGTCTTCCCTTCTAGTTTATTATGGTTGTAGAGTAGGGACAATGAGAGCAGCAATGTCTTGCACTGTCTCTGTGCCTTTTGTAGACCATGGAAGCCACCAACCACTGTTGGAAGGATGTAGTGGTAAAGTGCACTGCAAAGTGGCAAGACATTCTTAAACAGTGCTCACCACATTAGAGAAGACTTGATATTGTGATGCAAAGAATTAAAGATACCTAAAATCTATTTTAGTGGTATCAATTGCAGTCCTTTAAAAGTACAGCAAAACCTTTCAGACATTGAGCTAAAGCACTGTGCTGTTAAGCCATCTCCATGGACAACTCAAGTCATTAGTGTACTAAGTGAATATTTCAGATGAATGAAATGTACAATGATTTAGCTAACATAAGAGTTCCAGTACAACTTGGTAGATGATAAAATGGATATCTTCTCTATGGCATATCAACCAAAATCTAAAGGTTTCTTGGAATTCCTTGGCCTCAATCACATCTTATCCTGGTTGAGTTAGCAATGCAGCTGGGAAAGTACTGACCTTTTCTGCTAGAACAGGAATACAGGTCACAAGGAAGATTCAAAGGTTGCATCATTATTTAGACTGATCTTTTTCTGGTCTGACTCCTCACTCTCAAGTGCTCCCCAAGTCCACAACCCTCAAGCATGAAGTCTCCAACTTGCAATTTGGACAGAATCATGGGAAACTTACATGTCAGTCATCATCATCATCATCTTCTTCTTGACAAAGTGCAGAAATTTCTACAACTTGATATAATTGGATGCAAAAAATAAAATCTTTAGATGGCTATTGCCCTCTCCAAAAAGCTCTGTTAAACATCTCAGACATTATGTGAGACTAAATATGTTGCCCATTGGCCCAAAACCTACTAGCTTAAACTTTTAATTTAGAGTCATGTCCAACTATCATATTCATGGTCAGACACATTGTGTTAACCAATAACCTATACATTATGATACATTTATTAAAGATGTAGCAGTCCATCCTTTGCTCTATTGATTATATGCATAACAAAGAGCCGGTGACTCGAGCGACTTGCAATTTCTTTAAATATTTACCTAATTCCAGTCTAGAGGAATTACTTGATGTTTAGAAAGATATAGAGGAGCCTCTTAAGTTTCAAGAAAAATAGAAGAGATAAAATCGCTTGTGTATCATATCGTTGCGATAACTAGTGTATACATGATCATACCATCTATATGAAATACTGATCATTCATCAACAATTTCAAGTACAAGACCTGATCACTTAGATAATTCTTATTAATAAATGAATTATCAGAGTTCAAATCTGATGATAGGCCTGTTTTGCAATGAGTAAATGGAGAAAATTCAACTTGTCCTGGAAGCTGGAATCCATGGTTCAAAGTTCCTTGAATGCTGATGGACATATCTACCATTATGTTTTGTCTTCTGAGATTGTTTCGATATGTACAAAGTAGATGCATGTCTATAGGGACTCCAATCAAGTAGCTAAATGAATAGCTTCAGATTTTAAATGTAGTCAGAGCTTCATCATCCACATTTTTATGCATCTGAAGCTAAAGAAGAGCCAAGATCTTCACCAGAGAAAACCTGAGGGAGCATATGCAGAGACAGTCAACATGTAACTGTGGCAATGAAGCCAGGATATATCCCAAAAGGCTGCCATGTCTACTTCTTGACGATGATAACAATTGCAACTCTTAATATTCTAAGTCTCATATTCTGTGATCTTTCAAGTTTTTTTCTGGCTTTTGCTAATCAACTTTACCACTTGTCTACATGATCATTTATCAAGACAATTAGTGATTTGCAGTTATGACCAGTAAGAGTGCCTACTGGTTGATGCCAATGATCTTTCTTGATTATGAGGTGAAGATTGAGGAAGTACATGATCTTTCAACATCAAAGTTCAGTGAGTGAATTCACTTGCAAGCTCTGTGGTAATGAGATTATTTTTTTGCTGATATTAGTAAAATAGAGAATATATTTGAAGGTTTTTTTTTATTCCTTGATTTAAAGAGACTCTAAGCTGATATATGAAAATATTTTATTAAACTAAATAAAAAATACTTTTATATTTTTTTGTAACTGTAGTTCACTAACGATGTTGTTAGGGGATATGATGGATGTTGTAGATGAGGAAAGTGATGACTGTCTCTTAGTAGTACTAACGTCCATCGTCATTAATTGAGATGTTAAAATTATTTTATATTTTTATATATAAAATCATAATGTTAAAATAGATGTAAATATTTTATTTTTTTAATTATAAAAATATTAATATAATTTTTTAAAATATAAATATTAAAATATTAAAAAAATTAATTATAAAAAGAATAGTCTATAATTAAACCTCCCACAGGATTTAATGCGGAGGTGTTGAAGGCTAATTAAGAGGCCAAAACCAGGGTTTACCCGATAACTAAGGGATTTAATGTAATGACCGATTAAGTCCTCCGCGCTACTATTTCTGCATGGGCGGCTCCCCGCGTCTCCCACCGCCGCCTCTTGCTCCTCCTCCCCGGCTCCGGCGGTCGGTAGTGTCGCTGCCCTGCGGTTCTCTTGGCCATGAGTCGTGCCTCTTCCAGCTCGTTTTAGTTCGGACTCGTCCTTCTCCTACCCCGATCTGTCTCCTGGGTACTCTCCTCTGAAGTAAAAATCGGATTTTTCGCGGGGTTTTGCCCTCTTTTCCCGCTGCTCGATCTCTTAAACAAAACGTTATGGGGTTTTCACTGGCTTTCATGGTTTCGAGGGGTTTTGGCTGCGATTCCTCGTAAAATGTTAGTCCATTTCGGCTTTTTAGGAAAGATATAGTCTTTCTGCCAAAAAATGTCAAAAGATCTTTCTGTTCTATCCAAAAACTCTACCCTAATGCGATTGCTTTCTGGACATGGAAAAGAGATATTTTCGATTCATTTATTGATTTTGCTGTAATAAATTCTGAAGTTTATGGGAAGAAAGCGTCAAAAGATCCCTTTTAATGGATTAAAGTTTATGCTCCAAGTGATTCATTAAGTGGGTTAACATTTGTTTTGTACATTTATCACTGATTTAAACAGACTTAATGCTAATATGCAATCCTCGGTGTAAGAAGTAAGATGGTCGAAATATACGTCGAGGCCAATAATAATTAGATGCAAATGATCCAACCACATCATTAGATTGGATGAGTTGCTGCAGTGTTTGACAAGGATTTAGCTGCAATCCGATTAATAATTCTTTTATCAGCTATTTACATAGTTATGGTTTATTTTACTTAAGTTAGCCTGTGTGTCTAATGTGGAAGCCATCTCTCACATACATAGAATGGAGGACATATGCACAAGTAGAAGGGTAAACTAGGATATCTCCGTTTAGTTTCTTTTGTTTCTCATGTTGAATGTGCATTGATCAGGATACAAGTTTCGACATGGCCGAAATGCTGGTGATCAGAGAGAAAAATGAAGTGAAGAATGGAAATAATGAGCCTGTTGATGCTGATGATGACGAAGATGGTGATGTTGGGGAGGGTGAAGATGAGTTGTCTGATGACAATGGGGAGGAATATGAGAACCCCGATACCGATAATGGCAAGAAAAATCCAGGTGGAGACGATCAGAAGGGAGAGGGAGAGGAGGAGGACGTTGAGGGTGAAGATCATGAGGAGGAGGACGACGAAGATGGTGTAGAGGAGGATCGGGAGGACAAGGATAAAAGAGGAAGACGAGAAAAAGAAGAAGAGAGACATGGTTTTAGTTGTAGTTTGTTTTGTTCTTTCAAGATCAGAGCAGACTTCAAGCACAGCCATTAGGAAATAAAACAAGAAAACTCATGCGTGCAGCTCTATTTTAGTATCAGAATTAGAGACAAATGCAGCTCAATTATTCCTCATCTAACATAGCTTGAATACTTTTTCTTTCTGCTCATCTTTGCTGCTCTAATTTAGTATCAGAATTTTCAAAACATAGACTCAAATGCAGCTCAATTATTCCTCATTCAACATAGCTTGGATAAGTTCTTTGTGGAAAAATGTAGAATATATCTTGAAAATGAGACAGAAGCTGGTTTTGTGGGGTAGAATTAAGTCATGCAGGTGCTTCTACTGCTGCTTCTCTCTACAGAATCAAATCATAGCTTGAAGTTTTCTGATGATGGGTTAAGTGAATTGGATTGAAGAGGAGATAAACAAGGAATACAGATATCACCAATGTCAAATCTAATTTACAAATGTTTGTGTGAATTTTTAGTACATATTTCCACACTTTTTAAAATTTTCCTTGCTCTACATTTCATTTTTTTCAGTCTTGAAACTAATTCTAACTTAGGAACAAAAACATAGCTATAGATTGACACAATCAAGTAAATAAATTACATACATATTATTTACCTAGATATTCCTTTCACTAGTATGCTGTTTCAAGTTGATTCTCAAAATATTTTTTATGTCAAATTATTTGGTGAATTATTGGGTCCGAGTTAACCAAATCAGCTGAACTGAAATATGAGACAATCACAGTCAGTTTAAATTTTTTTTGCTTACAAGACTTTGGCATCGACTGTGATACCATTAACAATGATTAAGAATGGATTTGATTCACAGAATCAATAGTTCGAATACTAATTGGACACAAGAAATAAATTGAGAACTAACTTGAAATAGCACCCAAAGTCAAAGAGCTACCTAAGAAGTTTAGCCTTTGTGTATTTACATTCACATACATACATACATACATTCATGCATAGCATATCTGTGTCTGAAGTCAGCAATATTAAGAAGAAGACTAGACATTTAGGCTGTCCATGATAGAGGTGTAAAGCACAGAGTGTTGTGAAGTCTATCCATTATAAAATTGACCCTACTGTGCCTACCACCAACATCTCCATGTTAATAGCCTTATCTGATTTCGGCATCACAAATTAGATAGATTTACTTTACATAATGGCAACAAAATCTTCCAGTCCAAATCCATTTTCAAAAAATGACAATCAAGCAGATTCTCTTCTGAAGAAACTGAGTCTAGTATAAATAGAGATCCTACCCTTCACAACTTTCCTTTCATGAAGAAACTTTGAATCAGAAAGCTGAAATTCTGTAAGATCTCCACCCAACAACTGTCTCTATTGGAAGTCTCACCTCCCTCTCCTCCCACTGGCACAAGATCAGCACTTGAAAATAACGGCAGTTAAGAGCTTAAAGATGATGGTAGATCTTCAATTCTTCTCCAACATCATCATGTCTTCTCGGTCCAACAGTAAACAATGGCAGATAAGTTTCTACTTCGACTTGCCCTGTTTCCTCTTCTATTGGTTGAGTTTTATCTCATGGTTTGATCAGTTTCAGATGACCGGCTGGGAATCAGTGCAAGATGGCAGCAGCCACTACGATTACATTGATAGATGCTACACAAAAGTAGACTGCATGGTCCCCTGCGAAGCATCTGGCCACTCACCAGGCACGGTGCTGCGTGTCCCTGATTCCACGTCCATGGCCTAGTTTGCTGCTGCCTCCCTGCATGATTTTAGGGAGAATTCAAGCAGTGTTATCTTCTAACTCAAACTTATATCTACATTGCACACAGTTTGAGTTGATGTCTCATGTATTAAAAGCAGGAGCAACAAGGTCTCAACTGTAACTTCAATCTATCAATTATAAGAAGGTTTTTGGTATAAGAAAGGAATTCAAGTCAATGGAAAACTACTGAAATGTGTCTGAAAATGGATACCAATTTCAACTGTAACTTCAATCCATTGATTTGGCTTAAGAAATTGAATCGAGTCAATGGAAAACTACTAAAATGTGTCTGAAAATGGAGACCAATTTCAATTATAACTTCAATCCATTGAGTTGTTTTAAGAAGGTTTTTGGCACTGGAAATGGAATCGAGTTAATCGGAAACTACTGAGATGTGTCTGAAATCAGGAATAAATATTCACATCTGACTCTAGTTCATGATCAATGACGTGAAGCCTTAATGAAAAATGCATGCTCATGATGTATGTGCAGGTACGGTCACATAGCGTGTTCAGGCTGTAGTCTTGCATTAGCAGAAGGGATGAAGAGACATGCATTAGCAACATGCTAAGCTCATTATTCCTCGAACTAAATGGAGAATGATGTAAAGAACAAAACCAAAGAAAATCTAGGATGTTCCTTTGACTTCTTCCTTTACAGCCGAGAAAATTTCTTCAACAGAACAACTCGATATATGGAATTATCCTGGGGTACATGAATTTCTCTATATAAGGAGCAATTGTGGCAGGGAATATGCTGCCTGATTATAGATAAGTGATGGTATACATACTTTATTTGCGTTAAAGAAAAATAAAGGTAATTTTTTGCTCATTACCTATATATACCTGAAGAAGTTCATTTTGCTTCAGACCTATGCCAGCAAGTTACAGATTTCCTAGACACAAGAAAAAGAAAAGGGTTACGGCAACAAGGACTTTCATATATAGATTTGGTTTTTATGTAAATAAAGGGATAGGTGCTGAATTCTGGGAATATAAAATTTCTAACCTGTAAAAAGTAAATTTATGGTTGTGCTAAGATAAAAGGTCGTCACATTTGAGGTTGGACTATCCTCTTTCCCAATATTTCCTTCTCCAGATAACATTGTTCTTTTGGGTCTCAGCCTTAGAATCGGATCTCATGTATCCTAATTCTTCCCTGTTGATAGCATATATCAAAATTTACAGCATCCAGACTTGTCTTTTGCTAGGCCTGGATCTCCTGAATAAGATCGTTCATCTGTATGGTTCCAGAGTTTATCATTGAATAAGCAAAACAATTATCGATATGCTAGATGGATTCTACCAAAAATCTTTGCATGAGCAGAAGCCATATCTGAAGTGATGAAAGCGAGTAGCATCTCGCACAATGATTTCCCGTCCTACGATTTTGGATATAAACTTTATTGCAGAGTGACAGTCCTTGCAGACTCTTAGGTTCTTCATAATCCTCAAAGTTGTGTTCTCAGGAGTACTGATCAACCCAAAAGCAATAGCAAGCTTTTCGCTGTGATGACTAAGTAATTGCTCCTTCAACTCCTCATCAATGTCGTGCAAGACAGATTGGGTATCAGGAACAAAACCTGCTTTCTTAATCTCCTTCCAGAGCTTTGCAGCCATCTGATATATTGCATCCCTCTGTGGGTGCAATCCATCATCAACTCCGAAGACATGAACCTTGTTCTTTATGTGTGTCCAGCTAAACCCTTGCTCTTTCTTCACTCTTTTATCCTTCATTAGCTTCCAAATCTTAGCAGCATCATCCCATTTCCCACATGCAGAATATACATTAGCAAGTGCAGAATAAGCACCACTGTTAACAGGATCGATAGCCAGCAATCTTTCTGCCGCAACCTTTGCCAAGTCAGCATCTTTCTGAACTTTGCAAGCAGCCAGAAGGGACCCCCATGCTATGGCATCTGGTTCTACTGGCATCGTTTTGATGAACTCTTGGGCATCCTGAGTTAAACCAGCACGCGCAAACAGATCAATCATGCATGAATAATGGCTTTGTGCGGGTTGGATCATATACTTAGTCTGCATCTGTTGAAAATAATGCCTCCCTTTCTCAACTAGTCCTGCATGTGTACATGCTGAAATCACACCAACATATGTTATATGGTCGGGCCTCACGCCTGTGCTAATCATATTTTCAAACAAGACTATAGCTTCTTCTCCTAGTCCATGTTGAGCCAAAGCTATGATCATTGAGGTCCATGAGACAGTTTCTTTACTCTGACATATCTGATCAAACACTGTCTTTGCTCCTGCAATGCTTCCAGATCTAGCATACATGGTAATAAGGGCATTGCTCACAGAAACTGACAGTCCTGTTGATCTGATAGCTCTGCAGTGAATCTGCTTGCCATGATCCAAGGATGCCAAGCTCGAACAAACACTCAGTATTGCAGCCAGCGTGTAATGGTTTGGCTTAGGACCATTGTCAACCATCAACCTAAAGAGATCCATGGCTTCACTATTGAAACCATTTTGAACATACCCAACAATCATAGCTGTCCAAGCAACAACATCCCGATAATTCATCAAGTCAAAGATTTCTCTAGCTGGTTGTAAGTCTCCGAGCTTAACATAACCCTCGAGGAGTGCAGTAAAGGATACGACACTAAGATCAGAAGCCATTGTTCGTTCAAGAACCCTTCGAGCAATTGCTACCCCACCAGACTTGGAGTACATTGAGATCAAAGCATTCCCAACCTGCCCATGACATGGCATTTCAGTTCTGACTATACGGGAATGGATCTGCTTTCCCACTCTCAACAGTCCTAGGAAAGCACAAGCAGAAAGAGCACTGGTTAACGTGAAATTATCAGGGACCACAGACTGTTCTTTTAGCATACGCGAGAAGAACTCCAATGCCTCCTGATTCAGGTTATTCTGATTGTATCCTGCAATGATCGCATTCCAAGTGACAATGTTACGATCAGTCATCTCGTCGAATTGGTCCTGAGCAAGATCCATTCTTCCAGACTGAGAATACATCGAAATCATAGAATTCCAACTCGATACACTCCTCAATCTCATCATATCAAAAACAGCCTTTGCAGTCTCTACGTCCCCCGACTTTCCATACATGTTGATCAGGGAATTAGCTACGACAACAACACCACTCAGCCCAAGCTTAGCCACAAAAGAATGCACCTTTCTACCCACGTCCAACGCCTCGAGGGCTGCACAGGATGAGAGCACATTAGTAAATGTGAACTGTGACGGTGGCACTCCAAACCGAACCATCTCCAGGAACACAACAACCGCCCGTTCAAATTCTCCCATCAGATTCAATCCCACAATCATCGTGGTCCAAGAAACAGAGTCCCTCTGGGGCATTTCAACAAACACCTTATTCGCCCTTCCAATCATACCACCTTTTGCATACATGGCCAGCAAGGTATTCCACGAGAACGCATTCTTGAGATGCATCCCGTCGAAAACATTGTGGGCATCGGTAAAAAATCCAAACTTAGCGTAGAGATTGATGATATTGTTCACGAGGTAGACGCCGAGGTGGAGGCCGGCCTTGACGACATGTGCGTGGATGGATCGGCCGGCGGAGACGTTCTCGGTCCGCACGCACGTCTGAAGGAGAAAAGCATAAAAGTCTGCAGGAGGAGATGGCCGGGAATGGATCGACCGAAGCCGAGTGAGAGACATAGAAGAAGAAGAACCACATCAAGGCAGAGTGCTTCAGTTTATAT